TCATTCATTTTCAAGGTCTATTTTTCCCAAACTCCACCAGTATTCACATTTGGGCATATTGAGTATTCGTGCCAAGTTTGTTTCAGCTCAATCATTGTTTGAGTCCACAGTGCTCTCTGGATGTAGGTGAACTACAACTCCCAAATTCAAGGTCAATGCCCACCAAACTCTTCCAGTATTTTCGATTGGTCATGGGAGTTCTGTGTGCCAAGGTGGTTTAATTACATCGTTGGTGGAGTTCAGAATGCTCTTTGATTGTAGTTGAACTATAAATCCCCCCAACCCCACCAGTATTCAAATTTGGGCGTATCAGCTATTTGTGCCAAATTTGGTCCAGTAAATGAAAATACATTCTGTGTATCGGATATTTATATTCCGATTCATAACAGTAGCCAAATTATAATTATGAGTAGCAACAGAAATAATTTTATGGTTGGGGGTCACCACAACATGAGGAAATGTGTTAAGCGGTCACAACATTAGGAAAGTTGAGAACCACTGGTCTAAAATCAGGACAGTCAATAAAGAGCAACACTCTGAAGACAGGGGAATTCCAGATGTGAAACAATCAGGGCCAGCTAATCACCTCCCAACAAAGGATTCCCCTAGGCATGGAGCAGTGAAGCTTTAAAGCTGCAAGTTCAATTCTAATCAAAGTGGCCAGTTGCAGCATTCACACTTGCCTCAAACAGACAGGAGTTCTTTTTCCCATCCTGGACATTCCACAGATATATTAACCTCACTTACTTAGTTTCCAACAGACCCCTCAACCTCTTAGAATGCCTGCCATAGGTGTGGGCAAAACGTCAGGAGAGAATGCTTCTGGAACATGGCCATACAGCACGAAAAACTCAAAACAACCCAGAAAAACATTTTGTTTTCAGGGTTTTTGGCCCTTGAATAAAATACAACTTTCCAGATATGTGAAAAAAAATTTTTTTGTATTGTTATTCTTTTTCTGCTAGCCATGGAGAGAGGCAAAGCACTGTACAAGGTATGGAAGCTCGCTCTTGGACTGTTGGAAGTGGTGCTCCAATGCTTTGCTGGCTTCAGAGGTTTCTTCAGGCATAATTGGTCTATTTTCAAGCCCGTTTGCACAGCCTTAAGGGCTAGGAACTTGCTTGTAACTGGGATTCTGCAGATTCCAAATTTTATCCCATAATACCAGTTCACATAAAAGCGGAATGCCTGGGTGAGGGAAGGGAGGCCCTTGAAGATCTAATTAGTCGTGGTTATGTTCCCTAGTCCAGCCTGTAATCTTAAACAAGAACACTACCAGGTTAAGTGGGATCTCAGGGTTCACTTGATCTTGCTCAAAGGCAGGTTCCAGCCCTCATGGCTGCAGACGATGCAGGAGGCTTGGCTGCATGCGTTGGATTATAGGGCATTGCCATGTACCTGTACCCCTTCCCTTTTCAGAAATATTTTTTCTTCCCTTTTCCTTAAAACAGAGGTAGGCAAATATTAATACTGTGGGGTCTCCTTTCCTGGTTTGAAATCCACCAGCTTGAAACAGGTGTAAAGTTCTGGAGGAGTGTCATGCACTTAGAATTATTGGAAATATGTCCTTAAACAGAAATGGGGTAACTTCAGACATCATGGAACAGTTTAATGTTATATGAGTCCAAGATCCACCAAGTAGAGCCAGAAGAGAATGACATACACTGAGATTTAAATATCAAGGTTCCTCTTGTAGCGGAAATGACTCGCCAGTACTCCAGGCAAAGTCCACTAAGGCCTGGGCAGCGGTGCAAGGAAGAGCCCATAAGTTGGATTCTTACTACAAAGGCTTTTATTGCGGGCGAAAGCAATAACATGACAATTGAAGCCCCCAGTTGGCACAGCGGGTTAAACCGCTGAGCTGCTGACCTTAGAATCTTGACAATTTGGGAGTTGTAGTTGCTGGGACGTATAGTTCACCTACAATCACAGAGCATTCTGAACCCCACCAACGATAGAATTGGGCCAAACCTCCCACACAGAACCCCCATGTGGGCCACAGCAACGCGTGGCAGAGGACGGCTAGTTTACACTGAAGAAGGTTAGAATAATGGTACAATCAGAGTTGGACAGTCTTATCTTAAATTACAGTTTTATGTAAATATTCAAAAACATTTAACCTACGAATAATACTAATAATAATAATAATAATCTTTATTTATACCCCGCCACCATCTCCCCCAACGGGGACTCGGGGCGGCTTACCTGAGGCCAAGTCCGAACACAGATTACAATAAAATAAGATACAATTTTCAATAAAATTAAGAATATAGCATTAAAGTATAAAACATATAAGCATATAAACAATATACACAAAACATAAAGAAAAAAAGCACTAAACCAAACATAATGACAGTAAGGGGGCCGCATGTACATAGAATGATTTAAAAACTCAGGGTGAGATAAAGGAGCAGAATTATTTGTAAGGGAGAACTCATAGACAGGGAAATAAACAAACCTTCGTACAAGGGGAGGGGGGTGAACTCCTAGGACAAGAACGTTGAGGGAGCAATAGCATAAGATTATGTGACTACGCTCCGAAAGCGCAACGGCATAGCCAGGTCTTGAGATTCTTTTTAAAGGTTTCTAAAGTAGGGGCTTTCCTAATCTCTCCGGGCAATGAGTTCCAGAGTCGGGGGGCCACAGAGGAGAAGGCCTCAATTAATGTAATTTTATTGGTATCTATTCTTATTTTGAAATTTACCAGTAGCTGCTGCATTTCCCACCCTCAGCTTATACTCGAGTCAATACGTTTTCACAGTTTTTTGTGGTAAAAACTAGGTGCCTCGGCTTATACTCGGGTCAGCTTATACTCAAGTATATATGGTACATTTTAATGGGGTGATCCAACATTTATATTTATTGTATTGTCGAAGGCTTTCATGACCGGAATCACTGGGTTGTTGTAGGTTTTTTCGGGCTATATGGCCATGTTCTAAAGGCTTTTTCTCCTGACGTTTCACCTGCATCTATGGCAAGCATCCTCAGAGGTAGTGAGGTCTGTTGGAACTAGGAAAATGGGTTTATATATCTGTGGAATGAACAGGGTGGGACAAAGGACTCTTGTCTTCTGGAGCTAGGTGTGAACGTTTCAACTTGCAGTGCCTTTCATGTTCCTTGATTCGTGTTTGGGCGCTGCGTTTGGTGGTCCCTATGACAGACTTTGTATTTCTAGGGGCAAAGATTACTGCAGATGCAGACTGTAGCCAGGAAATCAGAAGACGCTTACTTCTTGGGAGGAGAGCAATGTCCAGTCTCGATAAAATAGTGAAGAGTAGAGACATCAGACTGACAACAAAGATCCGCCTAGTCAAAGCCATGGTATTCCCTGTAGTCACCTACGGATATGAGAGCTGAACCTTAGGGAAGGCTGAGCGAAGGAAGATCGATGCTTTTGAACTGTGGTGTTGGAGGAAAGTGCTGAGAGTGCCTTGGACTGCGAGAAGATCCAACCAGTCCATCCTCCAGGAAATAAAGCCCGACTGCTCATTGGAGGGAAAGATACTAGAGACAAAGTTGAAGTACTTTGGCCACATCATGAGGAGACAGGAAAGCCTAGAGAAGACAATGATGCTGGGGAAAGTGGAAGGCAAAAGGAAGAGGGGCCGACCAAGGGCAAGATGGATGGATGGCATCCTTGAAGTGACTGGACTGACCTTGAGGGAGCTGGGGGTGGTAACGGCTGACAGGGAGCTCTGGCGTGGGCTGGTCCATGAGGTCACGAAGAGTCGGAGACGACTGAACGAATGAACAACAAATGTAGAACATGAAAGGCACTGCAGACTACTTCAACCAGAGAAGTCAACCATAGCAGAACACCTGATGAACCAACCTGGACACAGCATATTATTTGAGAGCACAGAAATGCTGGACCACTCCAACAACCACCATGTCAGACTACACAGAGAAGCCATTGAAATCCACAAGCATGTGGACAATTTCGACAGAAAGGAGGAAACCATGAAAATGAACAAAATCTGGCTACCAGCATTAAAAAAACTCTAAAATTAGAACAGCACAACAACAACGAGGAAACAAACAAGGACATCTAATTACCTCTCAACAAAAGATTGCTCCAGGCACTGCCAGGCAATCAAATGCTAATCAAGGTGATCAGTTGAAACATCCACACCTAGCTCCAGCAGACAAGAGTCCTTTGTCCCACCCTGGTCATTCCACAGATATATAAACCCTTTTTCCTAGTTCTGACAGACCTCACCACCTCTGAGGATGCTTGCCATAGATGCAGGCGAAATGTCAGGAGAAAATGCTTTAGCCCGAAAAAACCTACAAAAACCCATTTATTTATTTTTTAATTTATTCCCAGCATTCATTCATTCATTCATTCATTCATTCATGCAGTTGGAGCCGCCGGTGGCGCAGTGGGTTAAACCCCTGTGCCGGCAGAACTGAAGACTGACAGGTCGCAGGTTCGAATCCGGGGAGAGGCGGATGAGCTCCCTCTATCAGCTCCAGCTCCTCATGCAGGGACATGAGAGAAGCCTCCCACAAGGATGATAAAAACATCAAAAATCATCCAGGTGTCCCCTGGGCAACGTCCTTGCAGACGGCCAATTCTCTCACACCAGGAGTCACTCCTGACACGACAAAAAAAAATTCATGCAGTTTATTTATTCATTGCAAGAAGGTTTAAAGACTCATCAAATATGCATTTTAAAATGGACTTTCCTGAACTGGTAACCTCCAGATGTGTCAAGACTACAAGTCCCACCATCCCCATTGGAGGGTGTCTTGTTGAGAAGACTTACCATATAAATGACAGGCCTCACCTTGCAGTGTCTTAAAAGAATGCAAACCAAAGCAAATGTCCAGAATTGTCCCATTTTGTTTTCTTGCACAGAATCTGATTGAAAACATGTTATATAACACAGCCCAGATTACCGTCTAATATACATTTATTCCCGGGTTTTGCTCTGTTCCTGGTATATAGTTTGTTATGATTTTTAATCCTCTTTTTGTCTCCCGCTCTGCACCCGCAGGATCCCCACTGAGCAGAGGCTCTTCTTACCAAGACACAGAGACAGACTCTTCCGGAGCCCCTCTACTTAAAGCGTATTGCTGAGAAAGTGGACCTCAGGAGCACGCAGTGGGCAGTATATCCACCAGGGCAAGTTCCTGTTTTGTAAATGACAAGCACAACGCCACTTGTTGATCTGCTCTTAAAATTCATTTAGCCTCATTTTAATTTGAGTTTTAAAAGACCCTGACAAGCGGGTAGCGCAGGTATAGTATAGAAGCCAAAGAGCAGGAAAGGAACTAACATGCTAATAGGATTGCTACATTTCTTCAACCCTGCAAACGTGCCTTCTGATGACCGCTTGGTGCCTTTTATATAAAAACCCTTTTGTGAGCAGCCTCAACTAATCGTCACCGAATGCAAAAGCCAAATATACATTTTTGTGCTCTTGCTGTGCAAGATCTCACATGTTGACATGAAGTCATCCATTTTGTGATGTTTTTGAAGATTTGGAGGACTTGTGTCCATAGCTACAAATTTGGTGGATGCCATGCTTCAACCGAAAAGTGCCTGCTCAGTCCTTTGGGGTGGATCTACAAGAGACATCAAGCAACGTAATCTAGGACTACATGTTGTCAAAGCTACATGACATGAGCTACAAATGAACTGGCCAAGATTTGAGTCTATGTGGATTGCTGACTGATTATGTTGGAACCATGAAGTGCCAGAGTCAGAAATCAAGGTTGGAGTTAAGCAAATTCAGTCATCCCATTGAAAACAATGATGCTGAGACAAGACAGATGGGTTCTGAGTGCCAGTTGAATGTCATGGGATTCTGTTTCAAATGAAGTTGTCAGTTCCGCTTCTCTAATCTTATCCTTCCCAACCTTCCCAGAGTTTAATTCTTGGCCAGTAAGATAAGAAGCTGATTTACAACCAAGCAAATCATAGTTTTCATTGTAATCACAAGGCTCAAGGATGCCATCGAGAAACTCTCCCCGATAGGTTTTGCCTATTACAGAGAGGAACAAAGGACTTTGGGAGAGATGAGTAGGAATTTGTTGCATATCTACAGAGGCAGAATAGTTTCAGTCTAGTTTGTTTTATCTTCCCTTGACAAACAATAGGAGCTGTAGTTTAGGGCAACCCGTTTAGATATCTTCCCCTATTTGTAATACTGAGATATCTGAGGTTCTGTGGCTGAAAGCAAGTTGAAAACAATCCAAAAGTGGTTTTACATTTGTAGTCCGGATGTGGCAGAGAGTTCACAACAGTGTACAAGCTATGCTTTCAGCTTAATGCTTCAGCTCTATGTTGCTTCTCCTTAAAATTGTGAAAGGGATTATGATGTAAATAGTTTCTGCAACTGGTGTGAATAGTTTCGCCAAATGTTTGGAATTATCTTTCCACCATGGCACAGTTAAACCAGTCTATGGCAGTGGTTCTCGGCCTGTGGGTCCCCAGGTGTTTTGGCTGACAACTCCCAGAAATCCCAGTATTGTCGAAGGCTTTCATGGCCGGAATCACTGGGTTGTTGTGTGTTTTCCAGGCTGTATGGCCATGTTCCAGAAGCATTCTCTCCTGATGTTTTGCCTGCATCTATGGCAGGCATCCTCAGAGATTGTGAGGTCTGTTGGAAACTAGGAAAATTGGGTTTATATATCTGTGGACTGTTTCCAACAGACCTCACAATCTCTGAGGATACCTGCTATAGATGCAGGTGAAACGTCAGGAGAGAATGCTTCTGGAACATGGTCATACAGCCTGGAAAACACACAACAACCCAGTTTACCAGCTGTTAGGATTTCTGGGAGGTGAAGGCCAAAACATGTGGGGAACCACAGGTTGGGAACCACTGATCTATAGAGTTGTATCTGCCAGTAAATATATTCCTCTTTTGCTTTGGTTGAGCAGCAGAATTGCTTATGCTTAAGAGAAGGGTTTAAAAGAACCCCAAATGTACATATTGTAGATATAATCATACAAGATAAACTTTAATACTAGACGATTGTTTCATGGACACACATGCAACAGGCAAATCCAACTCAATTGTAAGCCTCCCAAACACAGGGAAAGGGAGAGATACACGAGGCTGTGCAATATTGTTGTCCTTGGAGCTGCTGCCACAGCATCCAGAACACCACACGCTATCCAACTCACTCAATATGTGATCAACTAGGTGACTTTCAGATCCTGCTTTCACAATCAGGTCCTGTTTGGATACAGCATTGGAGCCTAATTCTAAAGTGCAGTGATTCTCAAATTTTGGATCCCCAGATGTTTTGGCCTTCAACACCCAAGAATCTCAGTAAACTGGCTATGATTTCTGGGAGTTGTAAGCCAAAACACCTGGGTACCCACAGATTGAAAACCACTGTAAAGTGGATTGAAAATGGTGGCTACAGTCCAAAGCCCAATAAACATGCTGACCACTTGGGTTGGGGGTGCAGACATGAGTAAATTCATGTTTGAAATAGGAAAAACACACCCTACTTCCCAAATTCCCTCTCAAAGGTGAACACAGGCAAACTGCCTTCCTCTTTCCGCCCCTTCAGTCCCAGAAACCTGCCATGTGAGGACTGACATTTGTGGGGTTTTTTCCTCTGGAAGAGCCAAAAGAAAATCCTCGGTCTGCCATCTTCCCTCATGTGACTGATATCCGTTGGGCCATTGACCATTTCCTCATTCTCAATTTGAACTCAACTCTGATCACAGTTGCTGTGTTTTTCTCCCCACTTGCACACTTCAAATGTACAGTCTTGTGACTAACACTATCAATAGAATTGTGCTGATTTTTCCCCCTGAATGGGCCAATTTCCCCATCGAAATCATCCTCGTTGCCTCACTTCTGCACTTTTCTGTCTCATATGAACCTTGGCCTGTCCGAAGGAAGGATTTAGAAATGCAGAGCATGGTGGCTCATACTAAATCTTAGGTCACTTTGATTCCTTGTGCTTTTGCTTTTTTAAGACAAGCAAATTAGACTTTTTTTGTTTTGTTTTTAAACCAAACTCTTACATTTTAGAAAGCTCGCTCCCTTCCATGTGTACAAAGAGACTAATCTAAAGGATGGAAGTGGTCGCAGCTGGGAAAGAGTGGATATTGTGCCTTTTGTAAATAAGGATATCGCTTTTACAGAGCGGCGTGATGGCTGCTTCTGGTTCCATTTGGAAATAAAATCTGAAAAATGCATTTGAATGTGTGTTTTCTAAACGGCGAGGGGGAAAGTGCACCCCATAAAGGTGCTTTAGCTTGATAGGGAAACAGCTCTGTCTAGCCTTGAACTATCTACTTTGACAGAACTACGAGGGTTGTCCAGAAAGTAAGGTTGTTGTTGTTCATTCGTTCAGTCATGTCCGACTCTTCGTGACCTCATGGACCAGCCCACGCCAGAGCTCCCTGTCGGCTGTCACCACCCCCAGCTCCTTCAAGGTCAGTCCAGTCACTTCAAGGATGCCATCCATCCATCTTGCCCTTGGTCGGCCCCTCTTCCTTTTGCCTTCCACTTTCCCCAGCATAATTGCTGCATAATTGCTGTCTCCTCATGATGTGGCCAAAGTACTTCAACTTTGTCTCTAGTATCCTTCCCTCCAGTGAGCAGTCGGGCTTTATTTCTTGGAGGATGGACTGGTTGGATCTTCTCGCAGTCCAAGGCACTCTCAGAACTTTCCTCCAACACCACAGCTCAAAAGTAAGGTTACAAGATTTTTAAAAAATATAAAGAATGGTTATATTTTACTAAAATTAACATAGATTGTAGCCTAGGTGTTACATTATTTTTCCACATAATCACCATTCAGTTCAATACATTTTGTCATCCGTTTTTGATGCCCGAGTCATAGAAGTTTCCCTCTGCTTTTTCACCCAGTTCGTCACTTCGATTTTCACCTTGTCGGAAAAGTGTTTTCCACCCAGGTGTTCCTTCAATTTAGTGAACAGATGGTAATCACAGGGTGCAAGATCGGGGCGGCTTAAAACATCCCAACTAAAGGAAGTCAACAACTCTTGGGTTGCATGAGTGGTGTGCGGACGCACATTGTCATGAAGGAGACAGACTCCTGTCAGCATCCCACCACGTTTTATTATTTATTTACAACATTTATATCCTGCCCTTCTCACCCTGAAGGGGACTCAGAGCAGCTTACAAGTTATATGTACATACAATATATTATTAGACTAGCACAATATTAATTTTATGTATTACTATATTTCACTATAGCACTATACTGTAATATTGTTAGTAATATTACATGTAATATAAAATATGTAATTATTTTGTATTAGTATTAAATTGTATTACATCATAATATTAATATATGTGTATACAATATATTATTAGCACAACGCAATATTAGTATTATATTAGTTTTGAATGGCTCTGTGAAGTTTCTTCATGGTCTCACATTATATTCCGTACCAATTGTGTCACATGCTGTCTTGACATTATGACTTCTCCATAAACTGAAACCATTTCATGATGAATCACAGCAGCATTCATGCCCTTAGCATTTATATAGCATATGACAGCGCAAACTTCACACTTGGAGGGAAACAGAATAAGGATGCTCACCTCTAACCTTCACCACAACGCCAGTCAATGAGCTACCGACCACTGGCACTGTTCGTTCACTTCCTCTGGCTTCCCGCTATAAGGCAGTGATACCAACTTCCCCCGAGAAAATTCCCCACAAGAGCTACATGCTTTGTAACCTTACTTTCTGGATAACCCTCGTAACTGGACTCTTTTTTTAGCAGGTTTGTGGGAAACTGAATTCTGGACTTTTCTACGTACAAAGTAATGCTTCATCACTGAAGGAAAGGCTACGCTCTACTCACAAATATTACATTGTTCTGCCCATGCTGTGGCAAGAAATTAAGGTGGCAGAATCAGGACTCTGAGAGATCCCTGCTCATCCATGGAAACCCACAGGGTCATGTTTGGCGAGCTACACTCTCTTGCAATAAGATGAAGACCATGGGAAATCTCTGGACTCTATCAAGATTTTCTGACTTCAAGAGGCACATCAATAACAACTGGTCATGTTGGTGGTAGAGTCTGGGAGGGTTTCTCAAAATAGCTTTTCCAGGCTCTAACAAGAAGAGTCATGCTATATAAAAACCCAAAGGCTCATTGTTTCTTACAATGGTCAACTAGAAGTCCCTGGAAACTCCGTAGGTATAATAGCCTGCTGCTCGTGCTCCCTAGCAAACATGTTCAGAGATATGCTGAAATGGTTTTCATGCAAAGTGGAGGTCCTATGGCTTGGAGGTTCCCTCCTTTAGCAAACAAGGAACAGTAGCTATTAGGCAACGACTGGGAGCTGTGTGTAGCATTGATGTCCTGGATCCTTAAGAACGGTTCTGCTGAATTGAACTAAACCCTCTCCTAGCACAGCATTGACCTTCACCCTCTCGCTGCTAGCTACATGATTTGGTGAATGTCACTAGTAGGGCTGGAATGCAGTACAGTAGGTATGAGGAGCATTCATTAAAGATTTCCCCTGACCCACTTCTATTTATTGCAGAATGCTGAAACAGCACATGTGTAATGATCTAAGTCTCTATAGGTTATGTGCCAATTTACAACTCAGAATTAATAACGATCTTGATTTTACAGGTGTGAAATGATGTGAGGTTTGCTAATTGACCCAGTGGAACACAGAGGAGTCCTCAAGTTCCTTTACTTGAAAGGTCACACACCAAAGGAGACATTCAATGAGATGAAAGTGGTTTATGGTTTATAAAGACTCCTTTACGGCTGTTTGGACAGGGGGCAAACAGATCCCACCAACTGTCCCTCTAAAATAAAGATTTCACTGGTACCTATATAACGTTTGAGGGGATGTCTCTCTGATTAACTTCCGCTGCCACCATAAATAAATGTACAGGAACCCTCTAGCTGCTTTGAAAATATTAAAAATGCTTTTTAGACCACCAAGTACTGTGTTTTATTTTTTTCTTTAAAGGGAAACAGGTGAGGTTGGAAAGGAAAAGAACTATAGCCACAAATGGCACACTTGACTCAGGCTTTTTAAGTTTAAAAATAATCAGGAAAGTTTATTGATATAAATACAGAGAAGTGAATGCTGTTTAATAAGCTTGGCTGTTACAGATAAAATGTTCTGGTTCTTGAAAGCGTAACGGTTGCATGAGAATGGTTCTTTCTTTGTTACTATTACAAAACCCAGCTATTTCTTCCTTAAATAGCTGTACCCAGTTTGCCACAGCTTACTTCGCTGGCAAACTTCAGGCAAACTGCCTATTCTTAACACGAACTCCTAAAAACTTCTGTAATCCTGCTCTAACTCTAACATCAACAGACTGACTGACTAAAAAAGCTTCTTTCTTTCCCTCCAAACAGTCTAACTCCGCCCCCCTTTAATAAACCAATCCTGGCTGCTCTAAGGCTGGCTCAGGCCTAGGCCACTCCCCCTCTCTGAAATGGAGCTTTCCCTAAACTAAAATGGCTCCTGCTGCCCTCTGCCAGGCCTTCTAAGGCTGAAACTAACTAGCCTGCCTCTCCTAGGCCCTGCCACCCAGGCTGGTAAGGTAAGGGATCTTCACAATCCCCATCATGGTGTAGTCAAGAACTGGCATTGTCAATTCAAATGTGGTCGGACTTCGGTGGAAACAGCTCCAATTCCAGGGCGACCCCACTCTGCTATTGAGGAACAAACACACCATCCAGGAAGTGGACATCGCCATTTTGGAAAATCATCACGTAACCATTTG